CACAGGCTGGTGGTGGCTGCCGAGGGAGGTGGCGAAGTGGTCCACACATTGGTGAAGGTGTTGGTAGCTGATGTCAACGACAACTCTCCTTATTTCCTACGACCCAACCCACAGGTCACAGTCATCGAGGAGGATGATCGCGACTTACCGCTGGTTATCGCGAAGGTTGGTGCTGATGTGGCCAGCGTGTTTCTTTGTGCATGAGAACGCACAATCGCACCCGCGAATGCGTGTGCGTGTGTATGCTCCTTTGGAGGTATACTGCTTAAGAAAATGCACATATCTCTGATGATAAAAGCCTCTTGCCGAATAATGTCTAATGCTCTTCACCAGACCTAAACTAATGCATGCCATTTGGACTGACTGTTCGCCAGTTACATCTCTACTATGTAAATCCCCCTCATCTGCACCTTATCTAGTTATCATATCTCTGATATACCTAATCCATCTGAATTTAAGTGTATATAACTGTAAATTGGTTATGCATCCATTTACAGCTCATTTACATCTTAGTCAAATGTAAATTTTGGAAAATGTCATGGGACATAAAAGCACTTCTGTAAATCTTTGGAAAGATCTGGTATGTAGAAATGTTGGCCAGTAAATCGTTTACATATATTTTAGCAATATACCTAACAATGCTGACTTCCTTTTCTCTTCTCTTCCTTCATGTTTCTTACTACTTTTTTATTTTTCTTTACATTATCATATTATCGGTGGTATACAATACCGACAGTTTGATAAATAAGACACCTGGGTATCTTTTTTTGCTCAAGCTTTTCGCCTGCACAACGAGAATCTTCAGTTGAATAGAGGCAAATCCAACACAGGAAGCAGGAGAAGTTTGACGTGATCAGTCCGTCACTCTCAGTAGATGATGAGTCCCATAATCATGCGGCCGGACCCGCGCTCGAAGGAAAGAGGCTGCTGCGCAGGAGAATCGTTTCGGTAGTAACGGTACCCAAGGGCGTCACATGTGTCTGATTTAACACCCATACAGGTTGAGGCTCGGGACGAGGATGAGCTTGACACAGAAGGGCTCGCTTATAGCCTACAGGGAGACGGCGTTGATGGGTACGCCACTAATGACGCCTTCTTCGCAATCAATTCCCGTAATGGGGAGCTGATTCAGCTCAGGGTAAGTGAGGCATATGTCTGCCAAATGATTTTCATATAGCACTTTCTGTTTACACTTTCCCTCCAATATTTAATTTGAGTCTTGATCCAAACCTCAATTTTCTCAAAGAATATTAATATTAATCACTTGGGAATGTATGTTTTTTTTAATCAACCCCAAATTTTGAGAGATTTTAGTAGAGTTTAATATTACTCTTGGACAGAATAGGTTTATATTTGCTCATTTTTTTTTTTTTATATAGGGGGGTGAGAAGGGGGGGCATTGAACTTTCGGTTATGTAAACTATTGACTACGAAAAATAATAGTCAAAGGATTACGAAGACATTTAATAGGTCCAGGAACTTGATTCCAACATTTTGAAAGCCTAACAATGCACAACAATAATGAAACAAATAAAAATAAAATGTGATTTCAAATATGACAAAAAATACCAGTGAAAATAGAAAATGAAACCTGAGCGCTTTCATGTGCTTACACACATCTTCAGAGGACTAGGAAGAAAATATGTGTGTAAGCACGTGAAAACAGTCAAAATTTATTTTCTATTTTCACCCTGGTATCTTTTTTCCGTACAACAATAAACTTATTTACAAGAGTAATGAATGAAATTACCGTAGTAATAATAACTTGATTTAACAATTAATAAATTTAGTCACTTTAACTTTCCTGTAGCACTAACAGCTTGGATGATTGCAGCCAGATTCACTACATCTCTCTGATCCCATACGATGCTCTGGGTTGTTTCAAATCAAAATCATGAGTAAACATGTTTCTCGAGTTATCATTTAGATTTTAGACATTGATAGTCTATAGAAAAATGTTCCTTAAAACCTTCTAATTCGTAACATGGAAAGACTTTTAAATAAATTAAGTATTATTTAAAACATTTTCCAAAACGTTTTTCCTACTTTTCCATTGACTTTTTTGGAGGGCAAAGGGGAGGGGGGAGGGGTTACAGTCACTCAAAATTAACATATACTTTTCTTAGGATACCATCATATAAAGATATGTAACCCTCAAGTAGGCTTAAAAAAATAATATAACTCAAAATTATACTTTTTTTATAGTTTATTAGCTTTTTTGGTCAATATTTCACAAACATATGCTATACTGCAAATATTTTTTTTGTATCTGCTTTATTTTCTCCATTATGCTTCATTCTTCTTGTTTTCCATATGGATTTCGAGTCAATATCCTCTATGTACGTTTTTCACGGGATGGACGGGATGTAGACAGGAAGTAGGAGGAGATTAGGAGCAAAATGAGATTACGGAGAAGGAACTAAGAGAGAAGGAAATATATAGAGGTAGAAAGTAGAGAAAAATTAGAAATGTAGATTACGTATTTGATTTTGATGGGAGGGAGAGACGAGCCCGAGAACACCCCCATAAGAATTAGACAGAAGAAAGATAAATATATATCACTATAAATAAAAAATTCTGTACCTCATAATTCATTTATCGAGTAATCTGCGTTGTTAAGAGCGATAATGCACACCTTGATCGATCAATACACTGAACTCGGGACTATTAATCTCTCCTCTATTGTTGTGGTTTCCAGGCGCTGGATCGTGATCCACCGAATGGCAAGGGTGTCTGGAAGGTGAGGGTTCAGGTAATGGACGGGCAAGCTCCCTGGACGCGTCTGAGGAGAAGCACTGGTCAACACGTCTCCTCTAACTCCCTCGCCAGACACCCCAGTGCAGTAGCTACAAAGCCAGCAGAAGCACCAGGAGAAACAGCAGAAGCAACACCAGCACCACTACCAGAACCAGCAGAAGTAGTAGCAGTAGTAGAATCACCAGCTGCAGAAGCACCAGTAACAGCAACAGCACCAGCAGCATCAGAAGAAGAACGAGGATTACTTCTAGGGTATACAGCCACAGATTCACGTACTCTACCTAGAGACAAGAGAGATATCAGCCAAAACAAACGAAAACATACGGAAACGGAAACTAAAATCCCGTACGGGAAAGAAGGCAGTCATGACCTTAGTACACAAAGAACTGTCTGGTCCAGAGCCTATCTCAATCAGAGAGACAATGAAATGTTCAGAAATCAATACCACACTCCTTACCACGACGATAAACTAGTATCGCGGAATTCCCAGACCAGGAAAAGAAGTGTCAGAACGGACGATGATGATAAATTACGAACCAATAGGCCACCGGGGACGGTGTCCGTGATTCTGTCTGAGCAAAGCCGTAAATCACAAGCAATGGACTCTGGCAGCCACAAAGACAGGCCGTTGAGGATTAAGGAACACCCCAAAGATGACCTCTACGGCCTTTCTTGGTCATATAACAAACGTGAACGACAACTTTTAAGACAGATACGGGATGAGTTTCCGCCCTCCAGGTTTTATAGAGCACCGGAAGACGGTAACCAACACACGCGACGAGGGAAAAAATCTCGGGGAAAAGATTGGTTTCCTGTTGGATATCTGTCCACATCTGATGTCAAAGGCAAGTACAGAGGCCGGCCGAGTGTTCACTTCAAGCCCTGGTTGTCTGGACGCTCGTCGGCCAAAGTCAAAAGGTGGAGTCGGAGATTCTTGCATCCTCATTTAGGACATAAAAAAGAAAATTATTTCAGACGATCGTTGGATATCCTGCGAATCAAAGAAATTTCCAGTATTCTGCCGATCGTTACTGAGATAAATAGGACACAAGTTTCCGAATTTGTATATAAACATTTTTTAGATTTCCAAAACAGATCGTTGGGATATATGGATACCAAGAATATTGCTTCAGGTACGAAACTAATTCAGAAGTTAACTGAGTTGGTTAAAGACACAAAGGAAAATACTTTATTTATACCAAAAAATGTAGGCATTTCGATCACTCACAGAGACCCGTTTTCTATATTTTATGAAAAGAATACCTATGACTCACATTCTATACACTCTCAGGAATCCACGGAGAATCTCTACGAGGTAATTACAGAATTTCAAAATCCCTCTGAAGTGCCATCAACAACATCAGAGACAACAATGAGACCATCCTCAGCGGGTCATAAAGTTTCACCCAGACTAGAGGCAACCGATGGAAAAAATGATGAGGGTCACACTGAAACCAGCCAGGTAGACACTCCTTTCTGGTCAGTGGGAAACCCTAGTGAGAACTTCAGAGGCGTCAGCGCACCAAGAAGGAATATGCATTCCAGCCCCAACACTTCCAGAAGACGAAACATAGCCTCTTCCAGCTCTTGGTTCTCCCGAGGAGGCAAAAGCGAGGATTCGTGGGCGAGGTCCACCTCTTCGAAGACAATGTATACCCTAAGGAGAAAAAGGAACACGGGTTCTACCTTTTACGTCAATGACGAGTTCGGTAGAAACCTCGTCGATGACGAGGATGATGGATTCTGTGAGAACCTTGATCAGTACGAGAGAAACCTGCAGACGAAGGAAATGACAGATCCAGCCAACACCGAAAGGACGTGGGTTGACGGGAAGAATGGCGGACAGGTGCATACAATAGAGACGGTGGTGACTGTGGTGGTGAAGGACATCAACGACAACGCTCCTACCTTCCCCAACTCCACCATGTTTGGTGAGGTGCAAGAAAATGGTCCCATAGGTGAGTACCTGTGTTTGTGACTTTGCTGTCTTCAAGACACTAACATAGTCTGCTGTCTTGAAGACACTAACACACTCTGGTGTCTTGAAGACACTAACACACTCTGCTCTTCTGAGAACCTAAATTTCTATTCAAAAATAAAACAATTCTCTTATATTTAAAACATTTCTAAAACATCTAAATTAAAATTAAGTTAGTCGTTTTTGCTTCATGTCAAATACACACCAATAAACGCCGTATATATTGTTTATATATATATATATTATATATATATATATATATATATATATATATATATATATATATACATACATATATTATTAACACACTGGCCGATTCCCACCAAGGCAGGGTGGCCCGAAAAAGAAAAACCTTCACCATCATTCACGCCATCACTGTCTTGCCAGAAGGGTGCTTTACACTACAGTTTTTAAACTGCAACATTAACACCCCTCCTTCAGAGTGCATGCACTGTACTTCCCATCTCCAGGACTCAAGTCCGGCCTGCCGGTTTCCCTGAATCCCTTCATAAATGTTACTTTGCTCACACTCCAACAGCACGTCAAGTATTAAAAACCATTTGTCTCCATTCACTCCTATCAAACACGCTCACGCATGCCCGCTGTAAGTCCAAGCACACAAAACCTCCTTTACCCCCTCCCTCCAACCTTTCCTAGGCCGACCCCTACCCCGCCTTCCTTCCACTACAGACTGATACACTCTTGAAGTCATTCTGTTACGCTCCATTCTCTCTACATGTCCGAACCACCTCAACAACCCTTCCTCAGCCCTCTGGACAACAGTTTTGGTAATCCCGCACCTCCTCCTAACTTCCAAACTACGAATTCTCTGCATTATATTCACACCACACATTGCCCTCAGACATGACATCTCCACTGCCTCCAGCCTTCTCCTCGCTGCAACATTCATCACCCATGCTTCACACCCATATAAGAGCGTTGGTAAAACTATACTCTCATACATTCCCCTCTTTGCCTCCAAGGACAAAGTTCTTTGTCTCCACAGACTCCTAAGTGCACCACTCACCCTTTTCCCCTCAATAATTCTATGATTCACCTCATCTTTCATAGAACCATCCGCTGACACGTCCACTCCCAAATATCTGAATACATTCACCTCCTCCATACTCTCTCCCTCCAATCTGATATCCAATCTTTCATCACCTAATCTTTTTATCCTCATAACCTTACTCTTTCCTGTATTCACTTTTAATTTTCTTCTTTTACATACCCTACCAAATTCATCCACCAACCTCTGCAACTTCTCTTCAGAATCTCCCAAGAGCACAGTGTCATCAGCAAAGAGCAACTGTGACAACTCCCACTTTGTGTGTGATTCTTTATCTTTTAACTCCACGCCTCTTGCCAAGACCCTCGCATTTACTTCTTTTACAACCCCATCTATAAATATATTAAACAACCACGGTGACATCACACATCCTTGTCTAAGGCCTACTTTTACTGGAAAATAATCTCCCTCTTTCCTACATACTCTAACTTGAGCCTTACTATCCTCGTAAAAACTCTTCACTGCTTTCAGTAACCTACCTCCTATACCATACACCTGCAACATCTGCCTCATTGGCCCCCTATCCACCCTGTCATACGCCTTTTCCAAATCCATAAATGCCACAAAAGCCTCTTTAGCCTTATCTAAATACTGTTCACTTATATGTTTCACTGTAAACACCTGGTCCACACACCCCCTACCTTTCCTAAAGCCTCCTTGTTCATCTGCTATCCTATTCTACGTCTTACTCTTATTCTACGTCTTACTCTCTTTTGTCCCCTTTGCCTTTATACAATGGAACTATGCATGCTCTCTGCCAATCCCTAGGTACCTTACCCTCTTCCATACATTTATTAAATAATTGCACCAACCACTCCAAAACTAAATCCCCACCTGCTTTTAACATTTCTATCTTTATCCCATGAATCCCGGCTGCCTTACCCCCTTTCATTTTACCTACTGCCTCACGAACTTCCCCCAAACTCACAACTGGCTTTTCCCTCACTCCTACAAGATGTTATTCCTCCTTGCCCTATACACGAAATCACAGCTTCCCTATCTTCATCAACATTTAACAATTCCTCAAAATATTCCTCCATCTTCCCAATACCTCTAAACTCTCTATTTAATAACTCTCCTCTTCTATTTTTAACTGATAAATCCATTTGTTCTCTAGGCTTCCTTAACTTGTTAATCTCACTCCAAAACTTTTTCTTATTTTCAACAAAATTTGTTGATAACATCTCACCCACTCTCTCATTTGCTCACTTTTTACATTGCTTCACCACTCTCTTAACCTCTCTCTTTTCTCCATATATTCTTCCCTCCTTGCATCACTTCTACTTTGTAAAAACTTCTCATATGCTAACTTTTTCTCCCTTACTACTCTCTTTACATCATTCCACCAATAGCTCCTCTTCCCTCCCACACCCACTTTCCTGTAACCACAAACTTCTGCTGAACACTCTAACACTATATTTTTAAACCTACCCCATACCTCTTCGACCCCATTGCCTATGCTCTCATTAGCCCATCTATCCTCCAATAGCTGTTTATATCTTACCCTAACTGCCTCCTCTTTTAGTTTATAAACCTTCACCTCTCTCTTCCCTGATGCTTCTATTTTCCTTGTATCCCATCTACCTTTTACTCTCAGTGTTGCTACAACTAAAAAGTGATCTGATATATGTGGCCCCTCTATAAACATGTACATCCTGAAGTCTACTCAACAGTCTTTTATCTACCAATACATAGTCCAACAAACTACTGTCATTTCGCCCTACATCATATCTTGTATACTTATTTATCCTCTTTTTCTTAAAATATGTATTACCTATAACTAAACCCCTTTCTATACAAAGTTCAATCAAAGGGCTCCCATTATCATTTACACCTGGCACCCCAAACATACCTACCACACCCTCTCTAAAAGTTTCTCCCACTTTAGCATTCAGGTCCCCTACCACAATTACTTTCTCACTTGGTTCAAAGGTTCTTATACATTCACTTAACATCTCCCAAAATCTCTCTCTCTCCTCTACATTCCTCTCTTCTCCAGGTGCATACACGCTTATTATGACCCACTTTTCGCATCCAACCTTTACTTTAATCCACATAATCCTTGAATTTACTCATTCATATTCTCTTTTCCCCCTTCATAATATCCTTAACATTATTGCTACCCCTTCCTTTGGCTCAAAACTATCTCAGATACCCCGATTATCCCATTTATTTCCCCCCACCGAAACATCCCCTACCCCCTCAGCTTTGTTTGTTAGGGCCGGGAAAACATCCAACTTCTTTTCATTCATAACATCGCATCATCTGTTTCTTGTCATCCCCCTTCCACACACATTCAAGCAATCCCAGTTTTTAAAGATTTTCTTTTCTCCTTTTTTAGTTAAATCTAACTGGAGAAGGGGTTACTACCCCAAATCGCTCCCGGATTTTAGTAGCTCATACGGACACCCTGGCTTCGGAGGAAAGATTCTTTTCATTCCCATGGACAATAGAAGAAATAAAGAAAACAGAGCTATTTAAAAAAAGGAAAAAACCTTAGATGTATGTATATATATCTGCATGTGCTGTCTAGTGAACGATGTGACCAAAGTTATCAGTTGGATAAACTGCAGACATCCTGTTATCTAGCGTATTTTAAAGACAGAAAAAGACACAGCAATCTATCCTTACACGCAAAACAGTTACAGGTTTCTGTTTCACAGTCATCTGGCAGCGGACCGGTGTACTTCCTGGGTGTGTTGCAGCTACAACCTACTACCTAAATATTTATAATATATATATAATTATTTTATATATATATATTATATTACTTATATATAGTATATTATACTTATATTTTTATTTACTATTATATATATATATCGTTTAAATATAATCTAAATCGATTTTTTTTATAATATAGCGAAGTATGTGTAATTCAAAAGGTTCGAAATTACTTTGAGAATGTAATTAATTAGGCTGTGAAATACTGTGGTTTATCCGAGTTGGATTATGTGTCAAGTTCAGTGTCAAGTATCAAGGTTCGTCAACATTAGTGTGTCAAGTGCCACTTTTTGGAGTTAACTCACTGCCACTCTTCTGTTATTGGAGTGTGATGTGTCTGTAGTGCTGGTGTATCTGTGAGTGATTGTGTTATCTATGAGTGTGGTAGTTATCTGTGAGTGCTGTGTATTATTTATAAGAGCTGGTTATCTGGTGAGTAGTGGTGTTATCTGTGAGTGCTGGTATTATTTAAAGAGCTGGTGTTATCTGTGAGTGCTGTCTATCTGTGAGTGCTGGTGTTATCTGTGAGTGCTGGTATTATTATAAGAGCTGGTGTTATCTGTGCAGTGATGGTGTTATCTGTGAGTGCTGTATTATTTATAAGAGTGCGTGTTATCTGTGAGTGCTGTGCTATCTGTGAGTGTGGTGTTATCTGTGAGTGCTGGTATTATTTAAGAGCTGGTGTTATCTGTGATGATGGTGTTATCTGTGAGTGTGGTATTATTTATAAGAGCTGGTTGTTATCTGTGAGTGCTGGTGCTATCTGTGAGTGCTGGTGTTATCTGTGAGTGCTGGTATTATTTATAAGAGCTGGTGTTATCTGTGAGTGATGATGTTATCTGTGAGTGCTGGTGTTATCTGTGAGTGCTGGTATTATTTATAAGAGCTGGTGTTATCTGTGAGTGATGGTGTTATCTGTGAGTGCCGGTGCTATCCGTGAGTGCTGGTGTTATCTGTGAGTGCTGGTGTTTTCTGTGAGTGCTGGTATTATTTATAAGGACTGGTGTTATCTGTGAGTGATGGTGTTTATCTGATGAGTGCTGGTGCTATCTGTGAGTGCTGGTGTTATCTGTGAGAGCTGGTATTATCTGTGAGTGCTGGTGTTATCTGTGAGTGCTGGTGTTATCTGTGAGTACTGATGTTATCTGTGAGTGCTGGTGTTATCTGTGAGTGCTCATCTTATCTTT